CTACGCAGTCTGCTCTCAAACTGCATGAAACCAACTGATGAAAAATATCACTGAAAATCACATAGTAGTGTGAAAAGTTTACTATCTTGTGGAGCTGCATTTCGAGCCACGCAGGGGCACATGCAGCCCATGGGTGTGACATGTCTGGTCTAAATGTAAATGGTCCATAGTTTACAGTATTTCCTAAAAAGTAAAACAAGTTTTAAATACTTTTAACATCGTTGACTGTAAGGCACAAAACTGATGTAGAAGTTCAGTTCACAACCAAAACTGCTCTCTGTCTCTAGCTTCAGGGAAAGCAGTTCTTCTTCTGGTCTCTATATCATCCATATGACCAATAAAGAAAGAGGAGAGAAAATTATTCTGCGCAAGAATGTCCTAAAGACTTTTTAAACCAATGAAAACAATAACCAGGAGGCCTATTGCATAAAGCAAAGAAACAAAGAAACAAACAAAACCATCAGAGAAACAGATATTTAGTTATATAGCTAAAAAATGAACTGACACACAAACTTCACAGAGAAACTGCGCGTTGGAGGAAGAAATATCAATTAAAAGACTTTCTATAGACAGCGACTGGCTTTGCTCCTTCAGTGAATTTTAAGACACGAGTGCCACATACAGAGCTCTCTGTTGCTATTAATAGTTCATTTATGAAAAAAAACCTTAAAGACTTTCATTATGGAGCAACAAAGGGAAAAAAAAAAAAAAGGCTACGAAACAGTGGTTGAAAGGAGAGATTCAACTGTATAGCAAAAATAAGACTTTTTTTCTAGCATCCTACATACTTACGGCGTCATATAAAAAAATTCACTGCCACAAGAAGAACAATACTGGATTCCAGAATCTGTGGGTGTGCTAAAGTGATTCTTTGTTGTAATGATTGGCTTTGTATATTGGACACAAACCAGAAGAGGGAATTTATTTAATATAAGGAACAATATGCTGTATTATATATTCATGTACTGTAGAGAAACTTATGTTTGTGGTTGCAACAAACATGTCAAAATAATACATAAATCTGCTCTACGTAAAAGTAATTTCCCATTGTAATAAAGAAAAATATATACAAGGGTGTACAAGAACATCTGTTTCCAAGAAAATTAGAGACAAGATAAAATAGATTTTTCCAGAAAAGGATAAAAAATGCTTTGCTTACAGGAAAAATTTAGAGAAGAAATAAAAACCTCTGAAATACTCTCTGCTCTCAGCTATTTCTTACACAGCAAGCCAATGCATAATTTGTTGAAAATCAGCTGGCTTAAATCATTCCTGAAATCAAACCTGAACACAAGATCAGCCATCAAAGCCAAGTTCAATTTCTGCTTATCACAAAACTGTCGCACCCGTGGCTTAAATGACTCACAACCCTGCGTGAGCGTACTTCATACAGTCAGATTCAGGTTCAATAGGAAATCTTAAGTTTTCTTCACTGTGAATGCTGAAATGCACACGAATTGACACAGATTTATAAACAAACAAAATCCATCTTCAAAACTTGGACAGAAATACCTGCAAACTCAATAACTCAAGTCAATGTCATTCCTCTGTCACCGAATCTTTATTCAAATAAATGAGTAGTTAGCAAACATGAGATATTTAATCTGCTTTATTTTATACCTTTATAAAAGGTCCTCTCTGATGTTTCTGCCCTTCTGAAATGCTTCCTCATTTGCAATCTGCAAAGCTGTCTGAATCTACCTACAGCACGATACTATCCAAGAGCCAGCACACCATGACAGAGGAAATACAATGAGAAAAGAAAGAACAGAAGGTGAAGGGAGAAACATCAACTTGAATTTTGAACACATATGCATACTTAACAGTTTTGTAATTGAATGAAATAAATCCAGGTATGTATTCACTCTTCCTTGCTGGGATGTCCTCTAGTCTGTATTGCTTTTTTTCTCCCCTTTTAGTTTATCTTGGTATATTTTGATCTTGGAGTTCCTTGTTTGTTGTCGGAATAGTATGTCCGTCCTCCAAAATTCTTACTTATTTCCACAGAAATTAATATAATTTCTGCATAAGCTTCCTGACACTTCCTTTCCTACTCCCTACACAAATAGGGATACACTCTGTTCCTTAAAACTCATTCTTCCAGTGCTGCACTGGTGAACCTCAGAGAGGTGGATATTAAGCACTCACCATTCACAAGAAGCAAGGCACGGAGCCTGCATAACATAACATCTGAATTTTCAAAGAACTAGAAATACAAGTTTCGAAAAGAGAAATCAGTTATGGGATTCTCTTTAGATTTTCCACAATTTCTTTCTAAATTACTTCAGATTTTCTCACTGAAATCTTTGCCTTGCAGACTTTATGGATGCTGCAAAATAACAGTAACTCAGCCATCAGTAACTGTTCTCACACCTGAACTGGAGACAGATTTTCCCATGTTACCTCCATTCACCTCTGGTGGTCAAAGCTGTTGTGGGAAAGCTTACACCAAACAGCCATGCTAGAGTGTCCCAAGCCAGATCCATATGAGCTGGTGTATTTACATGGAATTATTCACTGACTTACTGTTATTCTAGTTCAAACCCCAGAAGTAATACAGCCATCTGTGCCAGCTACAGAGACCAAGTCCAGATGGGCCTGTACAACACATCATGTTTAAAAAGCCACCTCATTTCTCCAGCTTAATTACCCCTGTGTGGAACTACTATGTGCCTCCATCAGAAGAGAATCATCAGAATTATGTATCTGCTACCTGAAAGGTGTAATGTTTGGAAGAATAGAAACATTGGGAGCAAAACAGAAGGCAGACAGAACAAGATCTCACAGAGGATTTAGTGAAAAGATTGCATAAGAGGAGCTTAAGCACAGTTTTAGACTGTTTTCATGAGCAAGCAGTGACACAGATCAGATTCTTTGCACGCATCAAATTTTGTATGTGTCATTTGCCATTAAAACCTATGTAGTAAGGAATGACTGAAAGCAAGGTTTGACTTTTGATAAAAATCGGGAATGATCATTAAGTTTGGAAGTCAGTGACCCAAAGCCTCTCTTGTGCTCTGCTCGTGTCCACAGACGTTTTTTAACTGTACAGCAAATCCATAAATGCACAGCACCCGAACACAACAGGACTAGGTAGACAGCAGAAACCTGCTGTTAGGTCCATTGAACTAAAAGGACTCTGTCCATCAAAGATGAAGGAAAAAATCCACAAAAGATCAAAGAAGCATTTATCTTCATGACATCTCCTGTGTAGGAATAAGGTGGATTTTAAAATTGATCATGTAACACCATAGCATCAGTAAAAGGTGACCTCAAACACTAAAAAGGCAGTGTATGTAAAGCCAAGACTGATTCCCAGCTCGTGTAGACAATTACACGTTTTTGAAACAAATTCTTTGACGTCATATTCATATATCAATACAAAAATAAATTATAAGCATAACTTATTTGTAAACTCTTATTCCCATGCAGTTTAGAAAAAAATATATTTAATAGTTACCATAACACTTTTGGTGAGAATTAGTGATTGGAGATATCAAAATGCTTTCAGAGAACTTTCTGAAAATATCAAATGAATATTAAAGGTAAAAGAGTATAGAAAAAGCCAGCTACAAGACATTTGTACTTAAGCTATATAGTTCTCTCATACCTAGAACAGCCAATGTAACTCACTAAATAAGAATAATAATGAAAAATAGAGTTGTTACAGTAACAGATAAAGGAATGCACACTGTGTTAGTTATCAATGCTTTATTATTGAAAACAAAATTGAAATTCTCTTATCTGGCACATAAACAATTATTTCTACAAAAAGGAAAGCCTACAAATCTGATAATTTATACAAATAACAGTTTTTCAAAAAATAAAATTTTAATTTAGTAAACTTGTTTTGTGCTCTTTAATTTTTTAGCACTGTCTGCAATAATCCACCATAAATCCCTGAGCAGAGAGACATATTTTAAACATGTTCTAAATTCATCCCAAAAGAAGAAAGTTATCAAGCCCAGACCTATATTAAAAAAACATATTCAGGGACATTCTTGTTAAATTTATGCTAGTCCTTTTTTCTCTCTCTTTTTTTTTTTTTTTTTTTTTTTTCTTAAGGAAACAAATAAGAGTTATGAATGCAAGCATGACACTGCATCATACGAGTGCTCCCCCTACCCCTATTTTGTGCAATGAAAAAAAGTTAATAAACAAGAATGAGTACAAATTGAAGGAAACATATAACATAGTGAATGGTTAAGACCAAGAAGCCATCAGAGTTTGATGGATGTTGAGTACAGTTTTATACTGAATTCTATACATTTTCCAGAAAGTCAGTAAAGCAGGAAAATAAGTTCAAGCTACTATTGTGTTCTACAACTGGTTTCAATGATAAAGTACAAATTCAACTTCTGACCCTTCCATTTTGCTTTTCCAGCCACAACATTATTTGAGAAAAACTTGATACATTCGACAAAACTAAACAACCTTGCCCCTCTGGCCCTTATGGTAGGCCACTTGTGAACACAGCAATATGATACTTTAGTGAGCAAGAGGAAGGAAAACACACACTACTGCATTTTTACTACAGTGACTGAAACAGCTATTCCTCAGTCTGTTTCAGTACATATTTAAAATCCAAATATAATGGGACAATGATTGAGATGGTAGAGAAAAGTGTCCTCTTTCCCAATAAGGTAAACACGCTAACCGCACAAAAAATGTCAGGAAAGCCAAAGTAAAAAAACAAACAAACAAACAAAAACAACACCAAAACTAAAAGACTACTGTGTTAATAGCAGGTAACATTGCTGTAGTCAAGTAATAAATAAATAAATACAGCAAAGTATTCTTCTCTATTGTTTTGTTGGAATGGTGCTTAACAGTTAGGAAGAAAAAAAACAGAAAACAACAAAATTTCCTCAGTAATCACGAGGTTTTAAAGACGATCCTGAAAAAGCTTCAGTTCAAGGTGCTCTACCACTTTAACATTACGTCTACCATTATGAAATGAACATTGAAGCATGAACATATGAAATGAACGTTGAAGATATCAACAGGTCATTAAATGAAATAGTACATTTTCATAAAAGCAATAATACTTATTCCAAAGAAAGAGAGCAGTTAACAAACGGCCTGGAAAAAAAGGATTGAATCTTCAATACACTGCAATTTAAAATAAATTATTCGTACATTTATAAACCGAAGAATAAAACAGTAATTAGGTCAAATTGTTCTGAATCAGGAATAAGCAGAACCTCACCAGAAGCATACTTAGATATTTGACAGCTCTGTTGCTAGTACATGTCAGAATACAAACAGAATTCTACTATTTGGTTAGAATCTGAATAGGTAATATGTTTTTAAAACATCACCACTACGAAAAGTAACTGGCAACCAGTTACACATTTATCTTTGCCTATGATGTTTTGGATATAATCTAATCCATTCCCTTGAGCTATTTTCTAGTCCCACAGACGTGTAACATTCCCTTCTCACTGAGTTGCTCATGAAGTCTGTGTAGAATATGCACAAACTAATATTTTCAAATCTTACTGGATGAGATATTGCAAAAATACTGGATGCAGAATCCAGTCAGTCTTTTTTTTCTTAAGATGACATTCTGACCACATTCACTTGATACCAGGGCAAACATCAGTCTCACTTGTACTGCTACATCATGTCTTTTTCTTATTTTTTAGATTCTGCATACATGCGTGATGTAGAATTTGGGCAATCGCTTGCTCATTCTGTCAAGCCCACAGCCATTTCACCATGTATTTCCAGAGAATTGCAACAAAACTTAAAGTAAGTTGAAATAATATGCATATTTGCAGCAAAAAAAAAATTTGAATGCCACCATCTAAACACAAACAATAGGTTTTAGAAAGATAAAAATTGGCCTTGTATGCTGTGAATTGGTAAACAAGTGGTCTTAAAGTGAGATTCAGCAGCATTAAGACAAACTGCAAACACGCCAGATTTAGTACACATTTTAATGAGTTACATTTAACGAGTTATTAGTACCCACTTTCACTCCCATATGATTTAGTGTATACTGTACAAATTTCCATTAGTGTTTCTAGGACAGTATACCTTTCACAGAAGTGAGCAATATGGAATTTGCAATGATTTTTCAAATATGCCAGGACACCCTCTTTCAAGTTCTGTGGTTCTAAATCTTTTTGTAGGCTAACATTGAAGTCCTTCATGAATATCTCCATCTCCCTTTCTGTGTTTTTTTTTTTGTTGTTGTTGTTTTGTTTGTTTGTTTTTCTTTTTTTTTTAAATCTAATAGTAACAACAAAAAAGGCAAAAAGCAGAATAGCTTCTCCTAGCAGCAATCAAGACTTCCGATCCTTGCAGCCAAGTCTGATGAGTTCTCTGTTCAGACAACTGTATGAAAATTCTAGTTATAAACCAATTTAAGAAAAAAAGCTTAGCGTTTTCCACATCATGTCTTGGATGTCTTTAAACCTTGTTTCTCCATGATGTTCCACAATTTGCGAAGATTGGACTGAGTGATGACATCATCAGGTTTAAGTTGAAGAGCAAGGAGGTAGTTTTCTTCAGCCTCTTTCAGTTTACCATTCAGATGAAGAATGGCTCCAAGATTCATTAAGGCAGCTGGATACTGGTACAAAAAAGAAAATGGGAAGAAGAAATATTAAGAATATTTTCAGTTTTTCTTTTCAGACAATCTTCTTCCACTTAAACAAACTATTACCTTATGTTTACAGACTTTTCATGGAAGCAGTTAAGCAATTTAAGGAAATAGAGATAACAAGAAAAGGTTTCTGAACAGCTGTTGCTTACTCTGTGCTTAAAACGGCAAATTCTGGTGTCTACAGGCATAGACTTCTCCCTTTAATGAGAAAGCACAGACCTCATCAAGCTTTTCATGTGGTAATGTCAGCATAGCACAGTTTCCAAGAGAAAATTAAAGTAGTCCAAGAATGGATTAAAGACAGGAATTTAATTTTGATTCAACCCATTGCCAATAAAGAATTTATAATTAGTGGGGATAGTTAACACATTGGAACTCACCCCTTTTTTCTCTGTCTTAATTATAACTAGTAGAAAAGACAATCTGTTCTCAGATTATAAGGATGTTCAGGAGTTCTAGGATATCCATTTAGATTAAGGCTGTGGCATTTATTTCTTAACGAATGACCAAACAAAATTTATATTATGGAAACATCATTTTAATAACAAATGTGAAAAATGTACAACAAATCCACAAAACTACATTAATACAAAGTCCATCTTCAACTAAAAGAAAATATTTCTTGTTTTCATTTTTTAATCTCAAGATTACTCCACTATGAAATAAAAAGCTCCTCATGATAATTAAATATGTTTAGATATCACTCACCAGGACTCAAGATCTGATGCCACATGGAAACTCAGCTAGAGAGTGTTATGAGTGGGGATGCAAAATGTTCTAAAAGGCCTGCAGTGACAGTAACTTCAGGAAAATATGATAGCCAGAAGGTCAGTAAAATACGCACTAGGGATGGTCTCCCAGACCAGGAAGTCAACTGGATGAAGAAGACTTACCTACATTCCAAACATATTCACCACCACATTAAACTCATTACTCTTACCCTTGTAATTCAGACCTCATAAATAAACAAATCATGTCCAAAACCTAAATTTTGCAGTGGAAATCCTGCTCAAAAAATACTTGATTTTTATATCCAACAAATATGTCATATTTTCTCACCTTTCTTCCTGCTTCTTTTCTTCTATTAAGATACGCATCATAAAAAGTGACAAGGACAACAGTGCATCAAGTTTTTAGAACTGGCTTCCAGAGTTCCAAAACAGAGCAAACCAAATTAAGTTTAACTGCCCCTGTGTAAACACCTGAAGGTATTATTTTTAGATTTAATTTTTCTTGGTTAACTCTGATAGATTAATTCCTCTCACCCCTACTCAGATGTTTGTTTCCACTTAAACAAAACAAAACAAAACAAACAAACAAACAGACAAAAAAACAAACAAAAAAACTACAGACACACACATACAAAAACAAACAAACAAACAAACAAAAAACTGCAAAAGAAACTAAAACAAATCCCCAGCTGAATCTTACAAAGTACTTATTACTCTCCAAATCTTTTTCTTCAGCCACATGCTATATAGAGAAGGAAAACTATTCCCTTGAAATGTTAGCTTTTGCTAGAGAAAACATATATTAGAAGCCACATTATCACAGTTACCCCTTCTCAGTGTCAGCATTATATACTATTTTACAAAGGAGTAACATTCTTCTTAATTATAGAAGTTCTAAGCGCTGACTGAAGTGCTACAAATGAAGAATCATATGCAAACAGCTTCACTGCAAATGGACGATTGCCTAAATATCTATATATTTTATTTATTCATTTAATTTTAGACTGGAGATTGTTTGAGATAATTTTCTGTATTTATTCTAAGTTGGATGGTCCATACTCTCTAACTGTGCTACTTGTTTGTCTGATTAAAGCTTGTGAATCAAATAGCTTCTTTCAAGACCTCCATTACTGACATAGAACTGTCTTTATTCTCAAAGTATAATTTGGTCCAGATGTAGATGGTAGACAAAGCTTGCAATAGATAAGAATTAACAGAACATATACCTAGAATAACCCATATTACATAAGACATACTTTTGAATTGTCCATTTCTAATTCTTTAACATTCACAAAGTTACTGAGAAGTAAAACAGTTTTCTCATATGGTTTCCAGAATTTGTCTCAATTTCCTTCACACAACACTCACTGAAGACATGGTATGGGTATGGTACTAATCAAGTACTCTAAATAAAGATTATATATGACTGTACACCTACATAAGAAAACTCTCTTGCCATGTATTTATCATCTTACTAGGGCAAGCAACAAAAATATCTAAAAGAATGAACTGTATGCCTTTTAATTGAATATGAAATTTTTCAGCTTCTAAGTATCACCTCTGAATTCCCAGAGGCCCAGCAAATTTTGGGCCATTAATATTCTATGAAAATGTATCCATGCAAGTAGATAGTGACAAAAGCTCACATGATCTCCTTCATGCTTCGGGTGAGGACATGCATAGGATAGCTGAAAGACTGCTCTCCGACCTTTTAGAGCACCTGTCACCCCAGTATGTACAGTTTATTGTCAGTCACAAGAATCACATTCTTTTCACCAGAACATGAAAGATTACACATCAGTGTCATCACTCCCTGACAGCTATGTATGACGGCCTGAGGAAAGAGAGAAAGAGACATTTGCTATAGTTTTTCTTCACATATATATTCTTTTATTAAACACAGCTGATAAAACTTTCCAGTATGTTAACAAAGACCGTCGGCAGCTACCAGTGCAATAACAAGAGACTTGTAGCACTGTACAGCAAATGACACCACCTACTACTTCAGAGACTTGAAAGGAGAAACAGTCCTTCCTTCATTTCCTTTTGGAGACAGATGCTTTACATCAAAAAGCTGACTGGCATTTCTATCAGGGTTATAAATGCTGTCTTTTATGTTCTATTGGGAATGATTTCCTTTATTAGCATTTTTATTGTGGTATGCTCGTTTCCTTAGTGGGTTTTTGGGGGGGTAGAGTTGGGGGCTGAAAGGAAAGAAATAATGGAGCAATTAATGAATAACAAAATAACAAAAGGCATGGACTTAGTTGCCTGAGGTGGTTTTGGTTCACATTGATGACAATTCTTTCAAACTTTCTCCACAACACCAAAATAAAAGGAGAGCCTAGGGGCACGAAAAATTTTTTAACATCAATTAAACTGTTCTGTAAAATGCATTGTGGAATCCATAAATAAATCAAAATAATTCTACATAGTACTTCAGGATTATCTTAATGTAACCAAGTACAGTATTGGTACAGTACAATAAGTACAGTATTATACCAAAATAATGAATATTAGCAACACAGTAGGTATAGTGATATCTTGTTCATCTCAGGCTCCATGTATAAAAATATTAGAAGAAAAGTCCCAAACAGAAGAAGATAATTTTATTGTTACATAAGCTTAAGGAGTTATATAGAGAGAAATAAAGAAATACAAACAACCTATTTAAAAAGGGCTTTTGAATGGCAAATAGCTATATCAAAGAACAGCCCAAAAGTGACCAATGAAATTGGAATATCTTTTCCCCAAAGTTGATCTTACAGATATTAATTGCTTGACACTATGAAGTCAGAGTGACAGAATGTGAGATGGAAATGCATTTTGTTGCTGTTGGAGTACTTTTAATGAAAGTCATGCCAGTTTATACTCCACTAGAATTGCAACTGCAAGCTAGTTCTCACTTAGCAATTTTCAAAGGTCACTGAAAAGATGTTGCCAACATTTCTCTTGCTCTTAATGAATTACTGCAGTGCATAATCATGTAGATGTTTCAAAACAAACCCAGGACTGTTTAATGAATTCTGTAATCAGCATGGCAAACTTATCAAAAACACAAAGGTTAACTGCTTTGTTTTAACAGTGCAATTAAGGATCCTTGTTCTTTTAAGTACTTAGAGAAAGACAGTAAATGTCACATGTGAGTATTTCATCACATCACTTTTGTGTAAAAAGTAACGAAGTAAAATATTTCTCTTTAATAACTGAAGATACATGGGTGATATAAAAAGTAATGAAGTATGCTTCATAAAGTATGAAAGCAAAGCATGGTGGACTGCCTCATCTTATCAATAATCATAATGCTTTATTTATCTTCCCACTGTGATAGCAAGAATTTTTACTCATATTTTTATTATTGGCGTTAATGCTGTAGCACAGTATAGTATTTTCTGAAGCAAATCTGAATGCAATCAAAATGTCATCAGCTCCTTTTTTATTGCTAAAGATAACTGTGAACTACTGAATAATTTCAGGGCATGGCACTTACTTTGGACAGACCGCAAAACATCTGACTGAAACCATGACCTACAGGTTGTCCAAGATGTAAGCATACAACCTTGAAGTATGTGAGGGAAAGAAGGACAAGAAAGGACATATCCACAGAGATGGCGTCTGCCAAGTAGATCTTAATCCCCAGTGTTGTTCCATTAATACTACTATAAATTTAGCAAAGAGACTGATACATGGAAGCAGACCTTTTCATAGAGGTAATCAATGTGTTGCCAGATAAGCCAAGTAACAGTTGCTGCTTCCAGATAGTCATGTTTTTTACCTGGTTCTCTATGCTATAAGGCTGCTGAATCTCTTAAGAAGTGGAGTTTGCATATACTGCCACTGGTATTTTCTTCCAAAAAGCACATGAATCCTCACTAAAGCACTATCACCAGAAAATTGCTTAAGATGGCAACAGTAAATTGTCTAGGATTTGATTACTTAGTGGAAAAGGCATTCTGAAAAAAGATGACAGGATGTATGTCAAAACATTATGGATCAGAAAGAATAAAAAAGCATAAAATTCACAGCTGAGAGGGATTTCCTGTGTCATCAGCCAGACTGCAAAGCATTCAGTTCTGCTGTAAAATAAAAACATCAGCATCTTTGCAAACTCCTTCTTAAAATGGAAGAATGCTTTTCAACTCCTTTATGGTAGTTAAGTATGTATTTAATTGCAAGTCTGCCTGTGAATGATTTCTGCAAGTAAGTTTTTGTGTTGACAACTACCTACAGCTTAAA